ACCTCTCGCTGTCATGGCAGGAGCGTCCTGGCCCCTTCACTTCTGCTGCTGCGGGGGCCACTGCACCGGCTGCTTGATCTGCTGCTGCTGGCACGGAACAGGGGCCACCGGCACCTGCCCGGGGCACTGGGGAGGGAGGACCACCACCGGCGTCACGTCCTGCACTTCGTGGCAGATGACCTCCTCGGAGCTGTGGCAGGACCTCTCGCTGTCATGGCAGGAGGACCCTCCGCTGTGGCAGGAGGAGCTCTCAGAGCTGTGGCAGCCTCTGTCTCCACGGGAGCACATTTTCAGTTGATGCAGCGAACCCTAGGAAGGAGAGGCCCTTGTCGTTAGATGCATGAAGGGCAGCATGCTTTCCCTGCTCTGCTTTGGGTTCAGATTTCCTCGATGTGTTTATGAGCCTGCCCGGGCTCGGCAGGATTTGCCTGTCTGCCTGTCCCATTTCCCCAGCCTGGGGCTTCATTCCCGCCGTGCCGGATCAGCCCGCACCATCTGAATGCCCTCGTGAGCCCACCCGGCAGCCCTGATCTACATTTCTGCTGGGCTCCATGAGCCGTTTCCCTGCTCTCCCTTGCTGCATCCCATGAGCACTCGTGCAAGACACCCTGGGATTATCTCAGGGCTGTGTAACAGAGGAGCAGTTGCGCTGTGGGCTGCTGGTTGATGCTGCACCGGCAAAAGGCACCTTGGCAAGGGTGTGGAAAACTTGCAGCCTAGAGGGGCCCTGGCACAGCCGGTAAATTTACAGCCAGGACTAGTGGTATTAGAGCCTCGGCAAGATGCACTTTCAAAGCCAGGTACTCAAAATGAAGAGACTCCTGTGCATTCCTCCTCCTTGTGTCCTCTGCTCCCTCCATGCCCTGCGGGCCCGTGGCTGGCCAGCGCCTAATTTCCTGAGGCATGGGGAAAATCTTGTGTGCACATCTAGACCCCCTTCTGAGATCTCAAGGAGGCAGAAGGCATCCAGGATGCGGCCAGCTGAGCTGAAGGCTGTTCATGCTACTCCTTCCTCTCATGGTTTAAATCTGCCTTCTCAGTTCTTTCCTAAATTTCTTCAAGGACAGCTTAATACTTTCACCTCCTGAAGATTTACATTTTCCAAAGGATCTTGGTAAAGGAGTCAGGCTCATAAGTGCAATTAAAATTCCTAGCTTAAACCCAAGGTTTCTTGTGAAAGATCAGCCTGTTGTCTCCCATTCATTCCCAAATCCTATTCTTTAATTTTCTATTTCCAATTTGTCCTTTGGAAACTAGGAATCCTGAGCACTGAAGTAATCCCAATACACCTACATGTGATAAGAACAATAAATTTTGCTTCTTAGCATAGGCAGTCTTGAGACCAGTTTTGATAGCACAAAATTACCCCAGCCACTGAGGCAAGAATTTAGCTCTCAATAATCCCAGCACCTGCAGACAGACCCACCTCTGTAAGAATATAGCTCAGCTCAGTTCAGCAAATTTTCATAGGAATGAAATATTAGCAGTGTAGTAGCAACTTACCTTGGCTCTGAAGGCTCTGAAGAAGGAGCGGAGATGAGTGAATGAGCTGGTCTCCCATCCGAGAACTTTTATATGGTTCCTAACTCTCTTCCTGAAAATGCAATAAACCCCTGGGGGGAAATGACCAATGTATTTACAAAACAGCCACACCTCTAATTATCCACCACCTTCAAAAGCTTATTCAACCCGGTTTCTTTGATTGACTTGTCATACAGTAGATTGTCTTCCTTGTGTTACACAGCTTTAATTGCCACCCAGCCCCACGCAGGTTGTAATGCACGAAGAGTGAAAACCGTGTGGGTGGCTTGACTGTCTCACCGTCATGCCAGGATGAGTTCTATATTGCAAAATAGATGGCAAAGGTAGTGCTTTTTTGGATTTCTATCCTCCTGAAACCTCTTGCCCAAAGTCTGGCAGGGAGGAAAGGTCACGATGCCCTGTCACCTCTAACTGCTCTTGGCAGGACCGGGGTCTTGTGCAGTGGACAAGAGCCACCACTTTCAGGTCAGCACCAGAAAAAATGGCAAGTTTTTAGAAAGTCCTCGTCACATATCCTCTGAAAGCATCCTTAAAGTTGTCTTTGTTCTGTAAGACATCTGCAGGTGCCAGAAGCTCAGCAGCTGAGGGTCCCCTCTTGATCTCCTCTCTCTGACTGTGTCATTTCCCAGGGCAATAAAACCAGGATAATGAAGCCTGTGGCCACTGTGGCAGGCTCCAAGAGCTATGACTGGAAAGTGACCTGTCAAAGCCAGGTAGCGGTACAGGCCACTTTCGGAAGTCTTGGCTGACACCTGCGAATACCCCAAAAATGTAGTGCAGTTTCTCTACCTGTGTCCATCCACTTCACATCTGATTTTATAGCCATTTCACTGATATTGACATAGTTACCACTAATTTTCATTGCTGACATTTTTCCTGGCCAATACCGAAAAGCCCTGAAGAGAATTGCTCTTTTAAAATTTCTGTTTTTCTAATATTTTAATTTTTATTTATTTGCCTGCCTCTGAAGCAGCCGTTGTCCATGATGGGAAACGTGCGCCTACAGAAACTGCTTGGGCAAACCTTGCATTCATGAGTAAGCAGTGAGTAAAGTGCTAGCTCAGAGACCATGTACCCAAGCTCATCACGCATCTCCAGCTCACCCAGCTCTTCCCTGGAGCGGGATGGGTGCAGTCTGGGTGCAAAGCAGCGGACTGCTGCAAGCCTGAGGTGCTCTCCTGGCCCTGGTGCAATCAGCTGTGCAACCGTGGCTTTGCAACAGCCCGTTTCCCCTTTTCCCTCCCATTAGCAGCTTGACCATGCAATTTCAGCAGGGCTCACTCTGTGTTTTTGCTCATTTTGCATCTTAACTCCCTCTGCAAACATGGGAGTCACAAGGTTTTGTTGGGCAGAGATCGACTGAACATCTGAAGCAGAGGGGTGGCTCCCATGTGCTATCTCTAAAACAATTTCTTTAGTTTCTATCCAGAGGCGCCAGTTATTGACTTTCATCAAGAAGCCAGATTTGTGTTTACCATTCAGCCTGCCTGTTTACAAACAGCCAAAGCAGAGGGGCCGCAGTTTTTGCAAGCACCAACACGCTCATGGATGAGATTGCTGCATTATCACAGTTGTCAGCCATGAAGGATGACTCTTTCCTCCCCTGTTGCACAATGAAATCTGCATGTGCAAGTGTGCATGTATGTGCCCGTGTGTAAAATCCAGCCTCCACCTGCTCCCAGCTTCACGCTGGAGGTGAGCTGCAGCCGCTCCAGTGTGCAGAGAAAGGCAGTGGGATGCAGCCCCGGCTCCTCCTGTTCAAGCTCTGGATGCAAGAGCATCCTCCTTCTCCCCGGGGTCTATTATACTATTATATCATCTAGCTCGGTTAACATCTAAGCTTGTGGAGTGCTTTTTGATACAAGCTTCAAAGAACCAGCCAGGTGGGACAGCGAATGAGAAATGTACTTTTAAAGTGTTTTCTATTTTCTTTTTTCTGTGGGGAGACTGAAATTTTGGGATGGTTTTTGGTCAGTTAGTTGAATAGGCAAGAAGTTTTTGAATAGTCCAGACTAATTGGTTTTCTGGAAGTCTCTTGGAATTTGTTTAGGCTTTCCGAGTTCTTTTGCTACCTTTGATGCTATCAGATGAAGTAGGGAAAATAACAGAAATCAATAATGAAGTGGTAGATTTTAGAAATATAAGTAGATGCAAATAAATGATAACACTGTCTAACTTCAGAATGGAATTTAATATGGCTGGTGACAAAACCTTATGTAATGTTCCCTGCACCACAGCCTTACAACATTTTACAGTGTGAAAGATACCCATTGTGGCATCAAACATGGGGCTAGAGCTCAGCCGATTTTGTTTTTTGTAAGCTGTGGTGTTTTACAAACATCAGGGCAAAGTTTTCTGGATATTTATTGAGCTGAAAGGGTCAAAATCCCCACAAGTGGATGGAAGTAGTAATGGTAAAAAATATTTTGCAGTGTAATTTTATGCTCTTTTGTCTCCAAAAAAGGAGATCTGGGCACAGATCCATGGGTGGTTTTTTCCTTCATTATGAATATTTGGAGGAATCAAAACCTCCCAGAGAACAGTCCCAAAACACTAAATATTGGGCAAATACCACGTAACAACTGGCACGGGATGTTCGAGCCTCCCCCGCGTTGTCCCATCAGCACAGCACAGAGGAACCATCTTCCCCCCATGCCTAATTTAGGGCCTGATCCTATCAAAAAATGTCATGAAGCAGGTTACTGCAAAGAAGCAAACGAGCTTGTTTGAGTTGCCTCATGCCACTGGTGCAAGCATAAGGTTTACGTGCTCCGGCTTACAACATCACCTGCAATCTCTGGGACAGGAGCCTGGCGTGTAATTGTTTCCACATAAACAGCCTTGCACTCCCAAGGTCATGCTGTAAATAATAATCAGTCGGAAATCACCTGGGAGTTTTTGCATATCTCCTTAACGTAGCTCGCAGAGTCTGGCCCGCGTACCCATGCAGAAGGTCTTGGCAGGGCACAGCATTTCCATTTGATGGAAACAGCATGGGGGAAGGTCTGACTTCAGCAAGAGCAAAATTAAGAACCTTCTCTTGCTGTTGAAAATGTTGTAGTTTAATTCTATTAAGATAAATACCACATTTGATTATGGTTGTAAAGTATGTATCAAAAATGTTGGAAGATAAATCTTGTGTTGTGAAGTAGACTCCTTGAGTATCTGTATTTTGAGTGAAGGAGCCAGAAATTAAGTAAATCATTCAGATACTGTAATTTCCCACAGACTATGAAGTTTTATTTTCCAACTCATGAGCAAAAGGAGATGGAGAGAAGAAACTTTTCCCATCACCAAAGCGCAAATCACTTTTCCCAGCAGTGCTTGCAGCGATGTTGCTAGCACAACCCAATGCAAGGAATGCAGAACTCCCTGACTGTAATGACACAGTTGGGGAAAAACTGCACTGTGGCACATCCAGGGCACTTTTGCTTGAGCACGGGTGGCTGCTGGGTTGGTCATTTCTTCTGGCTGGGGGGCCACTGGCTGCTCTGCTTGCTCTGGTTGGGCTCAATGTTGGGAACGACCACGGGGCATTTCTGCTGCATGGCCTGGGAGGACCCACCGCCTCCAGAGCTGAACTCTGGGCCTGAGTGTTCCCAGATTCCATGTCCTGATGCTCCGCTATAGTACCCTGATCCACCACTGCCCCCACTTGTTGTTAAGATCTTTTCTCTTGGTGATGCATCGTACCCGTATCCAGAGCCTCCTCCAGCAGCAATGCCCAATCTCCCACTGTGGCAGCTGGATCCTCCACCACCCCCCGAGCTGCCAGTGATGTTCCAGCCTGAGTCCTCACCGCCGCGCCCTATTGCCCCCTCACTGCCGCGCCCCATTGCCCCCTCACTGCCGTAGACTGGGACTGTGCCCCCTGCAATGCCCCAGCCAGACGTGCCCTCGCTGTCACCGCTGCTTATTACAACAGATCCCTCCCCACCACATCTGTACGACCCTGCAATGTCATAGGTGGACGATGTTGGCATGGGCTGGCAGGATGAAGCTCCCCGGCTGTAGATGACTGAGCCTTCTCCACCACAGAAGAAGGAGCCGTGTCCCTGGATGTTGGGCAAGCCCTCGCCTCTGTTATAGCATCCTCTGTGGTCCGAGGAGATGTCATTGCTGTAGCCCCTGTTCCGGCAGGCATGTCTCCTTCGGAGAGCGTGAAAAATCTGAAAGAGGGAAAAAACTAAAACCTGCACTGTTTTGCTTCATTTTTGCACCATGGCAGGTGGGGAGGCTGTGGGTGGTGTGGTCAGAGAGGCAATGCCAGGCTTCAAAACAGGGCACTGCCTAGCTGTTCTTCAAATGCAAGAGTATTTTGACTCTTACTGGGATAGCTTTTCTCTTTCTTATCTCCAGAGTATTTCCAGAGAATCAAAATCTGAAACCTATTCTTTTAACATCTAATAACTGCCATGGTTTTCCCCACTCATCTTCATGACCGTAACCACAGAGCTGTAAAAATAGCAAGGCTTATCTTTGTTTCTGTTTTTAAACTGCTGCAAGAGCAGTGGATCAAAATTTCCATGCAAGATGACATTGCTGGCTGTGTTATTGCCATCATTGCATAGCATCCCCAAAGGTCTTTTACATAAGGTAATCGGCACAGCCATTCAGGTATGTAACCATTATGAAGTACCTCATAGACTTGTTATTAAATAAGATTAAAAATGTGTCCCGCACATTGCAAAGACGTTCAAAACAGCAAAGACTATGCAGCCTTCATGTGGTGGTCCCACTACAGACTCATCTGGGGTTTTAGCCGGCTCAGCCCTATGGCTCCAGGTCTGGTGAACTGATTCACCTTGCTTCCTAGTGATCTGATCCACACCGTAGCAAGAAACCATACAGATCCCGAGAACTTCGCTGTGGATGCTCAGGTAGCATCGGTACTGCTGCAAGGACATGTCAAGATCTCAAATGAAGCTATGTCCCATGAATATGAAATAATAAAGTGTCAGAAAAGAGCAGACTTACCCTCCTCATCCATTGGAAACACATTTAGAAGACAAAAGTTGACTGAATGAGGAGCTTTAACAGACAGGAACTTTTATACAGCATTTAGCATATATGGGAAGTGAGACACCCTAAGGAATGGCAAGGATTTATTTACCAATCAAACTCTGATTTCGGTGTTTGCTTTGACTCATGCCAACTGATTGATATCTTTCCTTCAAGCTGTTTGTTGCATTGCATGTGGTAGTAATTGCTACTTCTGCTTAATGATCCTATTCCTGTGCTCCTGCCCTGAGCTACAGAGGACCGCTTCGGCCCCCAGTGAGGTGGCAATGCTGCGGAAGACCGGGGGAGGGGGGTGGGGACGTGGGTGTAGGGGAA